TTTTATTTGGATCATGGTTATACTCTTAATTTGATTTTACTTAGTCAACCTATAGTCTAAATTAAAGAGCTGTTCTAGCTTTATTTATGTTAATCAGTCTGCTCTCTGGCCTGATTTGATTGCTTGTAATTTATCAAATGTGAACTTGTAAAATTATCTTTAGCTACTATGAGATTATATTTAAAGGTCAACTAGTTAGAATTAGCAAACACTTTCTATAAACATAGTTCAACCTTGGAAGAAAGACACACACACACTTTATATGACATGACATTTGAGTGCTTGATAGGAATTATAAAAAGGTATAAAATATTAAATCCAACACCCCCCTATATCAATACTTTGTAGAACAACCTTTTGCAGGTCTTTGATGGTTTCGAATAACTTTGCACATCTAACTAAAATTGTGGCACTTTATTATTTGCAAAATATCTCAAGCTCAGTCGAACTGGTCGAACAGAAATGACATTCTCAATCCGACCTATGTCTGAACTTTGACTGGGCCGTCCCAACACAAGAATATTCTTTGATCTCTGGCAGGACGTTTCGGGTCGTTGCACAGCCGGAAGGTGAACCTTCACTTCAGTCTCAAGTCGTTTGCTGCCTCCAATAGGTTTTCTTTCCAGATTGCCTAATATTTACCTCCAGTCATTTTCCCACCAACTCTGACCAGATTTCCAAGTTAAATACCTGCAGATACCTGCGTCCACATGGAACAACCTAAACTCACCATGGAGTGGGTGATCAGGATCTGCCAGAATCAGCCTGGTCTTGTTCACTGACATGTGTAGGTCAGTTCCTGTTGAAGAAAAGCATCCACACAGCATGATCCTGCTACCACCATGTTTGATAGTGGGGATGCTGGGTCCACGGTGGTGTGTATTATGTGCTTTTTGGTCAACATAGTGTTTGGTATTTAGATAAAACAAGTTAAATTCTGCTCTGATCTAAGCAGAGCAGCTTCTTCTACATGTTTGCCGTGTTCCTACATGACTTGTGTCGAACTATAAGCAGAACTTCTTCTGGCTTTCTTTCAATAATGGCTTTGTCTCGCCACTCTTCCAAAAAGGCCATTTATGTGGAGATCACATGTCCTGTGGACAGGTTCTCCCATCTGAGCTGTGGATCTCTGCAGCTCCTCCAGAGTTATTATGGACTTCTTGGCTGCTGCTCTGATTATTGCTCTCCTTGCCCAGTCTGTCTGTTTAGATGGGCGACCATGTCTTGGTAGTTTTTTTAAAGTTGAGCCGGACTCTTTCCATTTTCTGATGATGGATGAACAAATCTCCGTAAAATATTGTTTGATAACCTAACCCTGCTTTCAACCTCTCGACATCTTCATCATTGACCAGTCTGGTGTTTTCCTTGGTCTTCATAATGCTGTATGATCACAGCTGGATTCATGCTAAAATTACGCACAAGTGGACTTTACTGATTAGGTGACTTCTAAAGGTAACTGGTTACTCTGGATATTAGTTTGGGTTATCAGAGTAAAAGGGGGGGAATACAAACGTACACCACACTTTTCAGATTTTTTATTTTTTATTTGGAAACCATTCTGTAATTGTACACTATTTTGCATTGGTCTATCACATCCCATATCCCAGTAAAATACTTTAACGTTTGTGGTTGAAATGTGACAAAATGTGGAATAGTTCAAGGGGGATAAATACTTTTTCAAGGCAATAGAACAAATACCTTTTCATGGGGCCTTTGTATATTTTTATACTCTCTCAATATGTGTACCCTGACACACAGACATAAACCCTACGTACACCTAAAATGAGCCCTGCAACAACAAACAGTTTTTATTGAACCCTCTTTTTAGACAGATAGAAAATATATTTGTATAATATCAAAGTTCATGTTCAATAATCCAGGTTAAAAAAATCCAACAAAGTTAAATCAGGTCCTCTGGACAGTTTCTTTGTGTTGAAACGTTTCGTCTTTCATCCAAAGGACTTCATCAGTCCAAGGAGCCACAATAAGCTCAGTCCCATAAGCAGCACACTCACATAGTGGTCCAGCCAGTTTGA